GAAAGGTCTGGCTCTGACACATTCCTTTATCACTGGCAGAAGGTGGGTAGCTAGCGTTAGTGTGGATCTGCTTTTATTTCTCTTTCTCTCTTTTGTTTCTCTTCCTTCCTAAAACTGAATATTAACAATAACAACAGCTCTACCTATCTCCAGTGCAAAGACAACTTTCAAGCAACATATGATAAAGATAGATATTATTGGATCAAAACCAAGCAACTTCTGTCTTCATTACATATTGCATGTAAAAAGCTCTAGGTTAAAAAAAAAAGAGGGGTTTGCATTCAACTGTATATAGAAGAACCCTATGAAAGAAAAAGAAACCTGACCTCAGAGATTATAAACCACATATCATGGTCAAAAATGGTTCAAAAATTTACCTAATCATCTTTTAAGTTGTGGGGATTATGATTTTATACCATGTCAGAGTCCTGACACCACGCTAAGACTGTTCCAGGCTGTACTAATAAATTTTCTGGCCAGGACTTTTTAATGCAAATAGTATAGGCATAATTTGGTTTTCATCAAAATCATAGGCTATATTCCTGGACCCCACAGTATTTATGAAATAATCTTTCTGGAGACTGAAATTTAATACTGTTTATCTTGAATGCTACAGAGAGATATTGGGACTACTGTGAGAATCTATTGATATTTTTTCTTTTCAAAAGTGTAGTGATGGCTGACAGACCCCTATGAATTACAGAAGTGTTTTTTAATTTATTAATAATCATTAGATAGAGAAGTTTTCCATGCTACCCAGCCTATACCTCTCAAAAGGAGAGCTGGAGCCTATCTCAAAATGATTGGGAGTGAACACTTTTCTTCCTGACTGTGCTCCTCTTCTGGGTTCTCACGCATCTTCAGACCAGTGGATTTTTTTCCCTTTTCTCAGGTGTTCATGATGCTGAGAAGGGTATATTTTGTCATGAGAGCTTCCAGGCTCCAGGAACAGGGCTATGCACCTGGAAAAGGCTGCAACCAGCAGCCAACACAGAAGCAATGTGGGTTTTGTCTCCCACTGTGTCCCTGCCAGCTCTCCAGTCCACACAGCCATACCCAGGGCTGGCTCTGTCCCACCAGGCATCTGCCTGGGATGCAGTTTCCCTGCCTGCCAGACCCCAGGCAGGGACTATGCTGTGCCTGCTGAGATTACAGCTACTCTAGACCTATGGAAGCCATAAGTGTCTCTCCCAGCCACTGTTGATATGGCACTATGGAGAACCACAGAGGCTCCAGCCTCTTCACCACAACCTAAGTAAATGTACTCCAGTGTCAGCCCAATTTAGTTTTCTCATGAGAGTCTTCCTAAGAGTCCATCATACACAAAGAACAGCTGAGAGGTTTTCTTTCCATTTTTGTTTTTTCTTTTTTTTTTTATTAATAGTGAGGAATCACTGTACCATTGCAATGGATACGTGGCTCTGCAGCTGGTGTTTCCTGATTGCATTTAGTGGATGCTATCAAGAAAAAATTCCTATCTTACTGTTTATTCAGATTTTTAGTTACAGAGGGAGTAGACTTTAGCTGGCCTAAGGACTTGATTAAATGTGCTACTTGAAAATCCATTTTAATGTGCTGTGTTCTCTAGGAAGTGTGCATATCTGTACCTGTGAATATATCTGTCTACATATGAGAATAATAAAATCTCATTGGATATTGTGGTGAGATATATTTTCCCAAGAAATATTGACATATATAATGAAGACACCCCCACACTGCCAGTCACTGTTGGACATGAAGCCACAGAAGCATCTACTGCAGCTCAAACTAAATGAGGCCTACTCAATAAGCATGGGGTAGAGGGATCCTTGTGTTTAGAATTTTTTTTTTTTAATGTTCCAGACTGGGAAAATGTTAAATGGATAGTTCAGTTGTTTCTTGTCCCATTCATAGAAGTTACTCTTTTGGGAATTGCCTTCTGCCTGATTTCACTTGCTACTGCTCCTGTTTGCTTTGTATGTATTCCTTGCTGATACTGGGACCAAGCTACACTGGCTGTTGAAGTAAAGTTTAAGGTAGAAAAGTTATTTTATTTTTATTTAACAATTCAGAGGAAAGACAGAGACAATTTGGAAATTTCAAAATATAATGCTGATGATTGCTTTATATATAAAAAGAAAATACACATTCTGCCACCATTGATTGACTTAAAAAAAAAAGAGAAGATGACAGATTTAGATGGCACAGGACTAAAGAAGTTCAATAGCTGTCTTGATTTAATTCTCCATTGCCAAATTACAATTTGTTGTGCTTTGATCAGTGTAAAGAGTAGGGAACACAGTTATTGACTTCATCCAGGCAAATAGATATAAATATAAAATCTCCAGTGTATAGATTAATATTTGTGCACCTCAGAAATGAGAGGAAGGCCTTATTCAAGTCCTAGCATGATTCTGTGTGTCATATAAAGTGAGTAGAATTTGGTCTGAAAAGAGTAACTACTAAATAGACATTTAATTTATATAAAATAACAATCCTCAGTGTAGGAGTTAAAAATGGTTGAAATTCTGAAAGAAAGGAAGGAATAGAAAATAAATAGCAATTAGGAAGGAAGAGAACAGTACACTGAAAAAATAAATAGATAAAGTCAAAAGGAATATTTCAAGCTTGGGACTGCTTTCTTATCCTTTTATACTGTTTGGTTATATCACACGGTATAAATAAGATTAAATTATATATTACAACTATGTGAAAATTTGTAGACAGAAATAGGGCACAAGCTGCTGTAATTTCTATAGAACTACATCATTGTGCTCTGGATGTAAATTTAGTTAACTTTTTCCTAATTTTATCTACCAAGACTAGCCATAAATATTTTTAAATTGAAGTACTTAAAATGTTTAAAAAGCTATTTTAAAATATATTGTTCCAGCAGTATCTATTCTGTACCATTTGTACTCTATTTAATGACATATTGTAGGGTTTTAGGAGATAATAATCTGCAAAATGCAATAGTCAGTGTCCAGGAAGAAACTATTAAAGCATGTCACTAATGAAAACAAAGAACAACAAGTTACTGAGAACTAGACTTCAGAAAAATACCTTAAGGGTAGAAGCTGTTACCCACTAGTATGTAATAAACTCCTCAGCAGATAGTGGCTTGGGGAGAAAAGGTCTCAGAATGATAGCATTGTGATAAAAATAAGTTGATGATTCCTCAAAATAAAAGAACTGCTTTCACTTTTAAAGACTAACTGGAAGGGAAGTATCTTGAGGAAAAAAAATGCACACTGACCGTTTCCAACCACCCATTTATAAAAAGAAAAACTTTATTTCTCAGCCTGTAGAAGCTACATACAAAGGCCTATTGGATTAAAAATCTTAGTGGAGAAAAGAAAATAATCACCAGCTAGACCTGGAGAGAGGTTTTACAACTTAAACAGGCAAAGGCTTTGTACATTTACTGAATCCTGAGGACAGAGATGGATTATTAAACTAGAGTAATCCAGGGTGGGAGAATATATATATTTGTTTATTTATTTATATCTTTATTATATATTCTTTGCATTTGTGCTGTGAAATGTAATATGACTTACGGAAGATGAATATGACTTAAATTTGGAAGGAAAAGTACTGGACTGATTAAAAAGGAGAAAAAGAGAGAGGACAGGAAGATGCAGAAAGCATGTGTGTGTGTTTGCACACGTGTGCGTACATGCACAGAATCATAGAATGGGTGAAGTTGGAAGGGACCACAGTGGATCATCCGGTCCAACCTTCCTGCTCAAGCAGGGTCACCCTAGAACACATTGCACAGGATTGCATCCAGATAGTTCTTGAATATCTCCAGTGACGGAGACTCCACAACCTCTCTGAGCAATCTGTTCCAGTGCTTGGTCACCCACACAGTAGTTCTTCCTCATATGCAGGTGGAACTTCCCGTGTATCATTTTCTGCCTGTTGTCTCTTGTCCTATTGCTTGGCACCAAGAAGAGCCTGGGTCCATTCTCTTGAAACCCTCCCTTCAGATACTGACAGCCATTAATGAGGTTCCCTCTCAGTCATCTCTTCTCGAGGCTGAACAGGCCCAACTCGCTCAGCCTGTTCTCATAAGAGAGATGTTCAAGTCCCTTAATCATCATTGTTGCCCTCCACTGGACCTGCTACAGGAGCTCCGTGTCTTTCTTGTACTGAGGAGGCCAGAAGTGGACACTGTACCCCAGCTGAGGCCTCACCAGGGCTGAGTAGAGGGGCAGAATCACCTCCCTCGACCTGCTGGCAATGCTCTTCCTAATGCACCCCAGGATACCATTGGCCTTCTTGGCCACAAGGACACACTGCTGCCTCATGGACAGCTTGTTGTCCACCAGGACCCTCCAGGTCCTTCTCCATAGAGCTATTTTCAGCAGGTCAGACACCAGAAGCACTGGTTCATGGGGTCATTCCCTCCTGGGGGCGGGACCCTGCACTTGCCTTTCTTGAATTTAAAAATAATCCACTCTGCCCATCCCCCCCACCTGTCAAGGCACACATGCACAAATTTATTTGAAAGCTGTTAAAGCTTTCCAAAGCAAGTGGGTCAGCTATAATGAAGTGCAGTAAGGTTTTGCTTTTTTGTAAAGGAAAAGAAAAAATCCTGCTGTCTTTCCATTTTCTTTTTCTTTCCACTATCACTTGCTTAGGTAATGAGGGCTTACTCTGATCAGAAGTATGTTGTATGTTCAGGGGTGTCATCACTCTAAGAACAAAAGCATAACTATAGATAAGTTCAGGCTGATGGAAAATTACATAAAATGACAAGCCAGAGTGAAAACTGGCTAAGGAAATCAGGGATAGTTTGTTCTGCGTAAACATGGTGAGATGGAAACAATCAAGACAAGAACAACAACCTTCAAACCAAGGAGTAAGGCAACCTAGGAACCAGCAACAAAGCATATTGCAAAGATATTGCAAACTATGACTCAAAGAGCTAAGTAAAAATATTTCTCTAATCACATCCAGAAAGAGATGTTTATATTAGAAAACAGTCAAAGTTGGCACTCAAATAGTCTCAGCAATAGTTATTTAGTAAATTATATGTATTTTATTATAGTCTTGTGACAGTTAATACTGATATGTCTCGGTAGTCTGTCTTACATTTATTATTCATTATATATTCTGTATAATTCCAAAGTACAGATTGCCAACATTTCAGGTAATGAAAATGGTATTCCGGTTTTGTACACTGGGCATGGTTTCCTATGTGTAACAGATAGAGAAATGTTATAACATATGTATATAATTCTGCCCAATGCAAGAGATACATGCAGCCACAGAACTATCCATTCACACAAAATGCTACTAATCATATCCAAGTCAGACTAACTAAACTGAACTAATTTATCTTTTACAGCTATGCACACCAGTAGGCTTGAAAGCCATACTTGTTTGTTTTACTTTATCTTGGGGCACATAAAATCATAGTATTTGGCAGCATGGGATAAGGGACATTAAATCAGCTTTTATGCTGTTGTTAAGAAACCCATAGAGGATGGGATTCAAGCAGCAGGACATCATACCCAATAAATGGCATATGCAATATACTAATTTAAAATGTCTGTTAGAAATGAGAGTGGCATTAAAATCTGTCACAATGTGGAAAAGGTGAAGAGGCATCCAACTGAAACCAAAAACTAGGATTAGCACTGTCAGTCTGCAAAAAACTCTCCTTGATCTTGTCTTAATTCTGACAATGGATCGGGATACAGTAATCATGTCCTGGATCTCTGTATTTTCTTCTGGTTTCATCTCAAAACAGATAGGAATCCCAGGGATGAATTTACTGGAGGAAAAGAGCTGACTTTTTTCTGTGCCAGAGGTTTCTGGGAGATCTCTTGAATGAGTATCCTGATGATGCCTTGAAATAGCTGGCATCACACTTGAAGTCTTCCTGCTGTATCTTCTGTGGTGCTTTCTGCCAAAGGCACAGCTCCACCTGGAGTGCCCAGAGGACTGCACCTGTGTGCTAGTGCTCTTAGAGGGATGAAGAGCTAGGTTTATCATCTCCTTTTCTTCAAACTTGTTTTCCTTGTTTGACAGTCTAGAGCCTATGCTCCTGCAGACGCTCGTGTGACTAGCAGTTAAACATGCCAGCGGCAGTATGTACTGCATAAACAGTAAGGCTATTGTAAAGGCAATTCTGTAGGAATCGGAAGGCCATGACTCGATACACAAGAGTCTGTTCTCCAGTGCCTCTAAATTCAGAGTTTTGCTGAGGTCTACAATTTTGTGGAAAACTGGAAGAGGGGAGCAAATTGTGAAGCCGAAGGCCCAAATGGCCACTATTAAGAAATAGCCTTGTTTTGCTGTTAGATTGCTAGAAAGGGGATATTTTATCATACGGTACCTGACTGCAGCAATAGATATTAACATCAAAGTTGAAACTAGAACTGATGCGCATTGGAGGAAGGGCATTACATGGCACATGACAGTGCCAAACATCCACTGGTCAAGCAGGACGGATGTCAGTGTGAAAGGCGAACAGAATAGCACAACCAAGATGTCAGAAAAGGCCAAGTTACCTATGAGAATGTTTATTATTGTCTTCTGCTTGCACTTCAGTAGGGCCATTAGTATAAGCAGATTTCCCATAAAGCCAGCCAGACTTATAAGTGTGTACAGCCCAATAAGAAAGTACTGTATGTCATCAACACTACTCTTATAGTCTTCCCAGGCAGAAAAATTCTTTGTAGTAGCAGAGGTGTTCCTGTTGTTACGGTCTTTTAATCCTAAATCCATTTTACAGTCCTGCTTAGAACGAGAAAGGCATTAATTAGCATCTGAAGGAACAATGATATTGCTGTTAATCAGAATGTAAAGGAACATAAATTTACCTAGTGTCACCTCAATGCAAATAAATTACTAGTCGTGTTAGTCTACTGTGAGGCAGATCCTGTATAACTGCAGGTCAACATGAATTAGTTACGTAGGTTTTACCATGTAGTGTTCAGCACGCCTTGGCCTCCTACCCGGGTGCTCACATGGGAGAATGGCAATTTAAGGTTCTGCATTATGATGCCGGCTTTTAACTATGCTTTGCTATAGACTATATTGTCAGACTTTCCATGAGGGAACAGTTAGCTACAAAAGCAATTCATCTTGAGTTGGTGAGATTACTCATGTGGATAACAGCCCATCGATATGGGTAAGGAAATGACAGTCACCATCTGGGCACATGCCTAATCATTGTATCACAGCAAATTATAATGAAGGCACCTGAAAATACATATGCTAATGACTACACTAGCATTTCTTACCTTGCTAGTAGAGAACTAACACAAAATAAGTGAGAGCTTTCAAAAATGATCAGGAAATCCACTGTCAATGATCCAAGATGGAATTCCTAATGTGGTGTATACAGAAACCATTTTCTATTAAGTGTTGAACATATTTTAACTGGTGCTCAAGCAGAAAGGAAAACTGCCTACAAAACATCTAAAGTAACTGGACGTAATACAAAGAGGACAGTGTTAACTGGAAGCAAACCCCACACAGCCATTTGAAAATTCAGTGAACCACTAATTATTCAGCACAGAAACATCTAACATTAAAACCTAACTCAGCACAAAGTTATTCTGCCTACAGAATCTTCATTTATTAGTCTTCATTTTAGAACAAACAGACATGAGAATTTAGTCCAATCTTCAGTTTACCTTAAACACCAGCACGTACTAAAGTTTCAAAGTTCTCCAGAGCGCCAGTGCCCTGTACAAAATTGCTTAATGTTTAGGAATCTTATATAAGAGAAAACAGGAATATCTAAACAATACAAAGCATATATAAATTGAGCAGAAGGCTCAATCTGTCACCTAAAAAAGGCAGGGCTCTTCAAGGCTCCTCCGTGAGCTGTATGGTGCTGACTTCTTCGAAGTGCAATAGTATTACTCAGCTTCCTCTACACATGCAGACGTGTTCCTTCCTTCACATCACGTGTGCTCCTACTGTCATGTACCAAAGGGAAGCTCAAACCTTAAAACAACCTCAGAATATTCACTGATAGTATGTTGTGATGGGAAGGTTCCTCATGTAAAAGTAGGAATACTTATTTAAAAAAAAAAATCTTACAAGTAATGTGTTGGAAAGAGGTGAAAAGTCAGACTTGCCAGCTTCTCTCAATCTTAAAGTGCTTAAAAATAGCTAAAATAGAAGTAAGAACTGGATATGTGAATTTAGATAACCTAAATTTTATAATTGTGTGCATACAAGCAGAGCAGCACTAATGCATATTATTTCTATTCAATTTTTCCCAGTCTTTAATGAAATGGTGAGAAATCATATAACAGACAAACAATGCGATCTGAGACTACCTTTGCCTCTAGACCAACTTTAAAGAAGCAGATTAGAGGTTCTGTAAGTGATCTAATCTCTCTATGTTGATATTATCAGAAATTTTCATTTTGGTGGGCTTCTCTTTATACAAATATTAGCTAATGAAGGAAAGTTTTTTATTTTTTCTGAGCTAATTTCTCTGAGTTGCTACTAACCAACCAAAACCAGTATGATCTGCATACCACAATGACTTTCAAAATCTGCTGAAATTTCTTTCTTTTCCCTAAGTATGACTCTACATAACTTTTGTCTGAGGAACCCCTCACAGAGCTTTGCCCTGGATAAAGATACATTTCCGTGCCTCAGGCTTATGGCATTATGTCCCTGTTATGTCACACTTGTATCATTTTTTTTCTCTTTGTTCAGCATGAAGGAATGGTGGATTTTGCTGACTGATGATTTTGCAGATTTCAGCGTGTGCAGGCCATCTCTAATCTGCACACTCTCTTTTGACTGATGAAAGCCATTTCAACTCTATGTTGCATTTCAATATGAAACATTACCTGCCTAATATTTTCAGAGTGAACATTCTATTATCTTTGTTCCACAACACTACACACTTAGCTGAGAAGTATGTAGGAAAAAACTTTGCATAACTGAAGAGTTAATAAAGAAAAGCCATTAGTGTCATTCTGGGCAATTTTCTTTTTGCTTGGACACCTTCCTTTTCCAGTTTATATCTCGCACAGATTAAAAGAGCTTTACTAATGGAACATCCCACTGCCTGATAGCAGGTTTGAACCATATCAAGAGTTATTTAAGAAAGGGAAATGAAACATTATTCAAGAGCTGGATCTCTCCAAATCTTAGTTACTAATCACCTGAGAGAAAGACTAATAAGAGAGAAGGAAATCCATAACTCTGTGCTACCAGCAATCATTCTGCGTAGTCTTCTATTTTAACTGATATTAGGTTGAAGGATGAACCTGTAAGAGAAGAAACAAACTGGAGTTACTGTTTCTCTACCAGAAACCCAGAGATTAGGGTTGCTTTTAGTGTATCTACAAGTATTTTCAGTAGCAGTTAAATTCCCACACATCATCACATTTGAAGGTCATGTTGAGTAGTAAAGATGCATACCAGTGTTTAAGTAATAATAGCAGCTATGTATGCGTGTACCAAAACTACAACTCCCTCTCTAGACTTTTTGGTGATATTTGCTGTCATTGAAAAGGTTCATAGGCCATAGGTTCATCAGTGAATGGAGAAAAAGCAGGCATTCCTACTGGTAGAAAAGGCTCTCTATCTAGTTAGTCCATTCCATTTTAATTACGTGTTATGATCTGTAGAGAAATCTTTATCTTTTCATTAAGTTTTGCTTAGTTTTAATCAATGGATTCTATGGAGAGAATTGAAACAAATCTGGTGGTATCACTGTTTTTTCTACCACTTTCAGATTTGGGTGACTAAAAGTGAAAAGGAAGAGACTTTCAAGTCAGATGCACCATAATTATTTTATCTTCTAGAAATTTATATTCCATACAGATAATGCTAAGACTAGGGCCAGAGAACAAAATTTAAGTGTTGTTGTACTGTAACATATTCATTAAATGAATGCTTATAGAGTTCTTCTTGAAGGTTTAACTGAAAGATTGTTGCCAGGTTCTGTAGATTTCTACACCTCCACATGGAGCTCTTGCAGTATGGCTTTAGCAGAACTGCTCATTATGTTTTTAATAGAATTATTTAAAAACAAAAAGTGATTATGCTGGTTTTGCTGAAGCAGACATATTTTATTGAGAAACATCAACACGGAAGAGCTTAGTAGCTGTGCGTCTGAAGTCCAGCATGGGCTCTCCAGCTCCACCACTTCTGAGCTATGGCTGCCTTCTGCCTGGGGTGAAAGATGAGAAGATGCCCTCTTCCCTATCACATGTATTCATTTCCATGAGGAAGGAGCCCTGGAAGAAGCCACAACATGATCTCTTAAGGCTCTAGCTGGACACTTGGGGCACCACAGGAGTCTGTAGTACACTGAAGCCCCTTCTGCACCATCTCTAATCACAGTTTCAGAGTGGCAAAAAGACAGAGGGGAAGGAATAACACTGTAATCTGCTGGTTTCAGCAGAGAACTACTGTGCTGACAAAATTTGCTTTGCAAAATGCCCAAAGATGACTTCATTTGGGATGTGTAAAATGAAAGCAGACTTTTGCCCCCAAATTTCAAAAGATGCCAAGTGGATCTCTTGCCTCTGAGCATCCTCTCCTGATCAAAAGAAACCAGTTGCTCTCAGCTTGAGTGCCACTGGTAGTAAAGGTGTAAACAAGTGTTCCTCCTGCATAATTGATCTTCATTAGCATGCCACTGATTTCACAGGGCTATGTGCACTTATTAGCATTTATCTTCCTGCTTTGTTTTAACAGTTGCCTCTATTTTGAGAGGTTCACTCTCCCTGTTGGGTTGGTCAAACCCAGTGCAGCACCTGGGTGCGGCTTTTAGGGAAATGGAGATTCATGAAAATCCTGCTGTGGGAAATAGAATTAAATAATATAGTCTCTTTCCAAAACCTTCTCCTCCTATTTGAAGTGTATTTCTAAACTGAATGCACCACAGTGTCAGAGTGCTCTTGCACCTGTTTTCAAGCTCAAATTTAGTCAGTTTGAAGGTACCTGATGGAGATTTTCAGCTGTCAGCTCCAAAGGTTGGATCACTTTCATCTCCTACATCAATCAGTCAAGCAAATGAGGTTCCCTTTTGGTGATCCTGGTCTGTGTACACTCCCAACTGTGCCCAGCTACACCTGTATGAGCTCATACCCTGTGAGCTTTAGGTCTTCTTTAATTTCAGTGGAATGCTTGAGACAGAAGGCTAGGCTGCAAAAGGCAGGAGAGACTTCAGTTTCGTGGCAGGGCCCAAGGTGGATTTGAATATTTACTGTAAGACTCAAATCAATGCAGTTAACATTTAAGAGTACAGTAAAATGTATTTTATAAGAGATAGTGTACCATGATCTTGAAAAATTTCAAATAACACCTCCTTAAATCACACTAATTTATGGTATACCTCAGTGTGACTCTCTGATTACTGTGATTCTTATTTTCATCAAAAGCATGCTTCAGCTGCAGTTGGTCTAGGGCCTGAGATTGACAGGGAGAAATGAAACCATTATTCAGGTGTAGCTGAGTTAGAAGTACCATATAACCCAAAATATGTTAATATTTTTACTATCTTGTAATTAATATCATTATTTCACTTAAAGCTATCACTTAAAATACAAAATCTATAAATGACAATTTAGGAGAGTTAATAGGCTGGTTATTTCTCTAAATATTTAAAGGGAAATTTTCAAGAACACAAAAGTTAGATGGGTAACCATCATCCTCTGAAAGCAATTGCTTTCTCAGGAAATGTTCCTTCTATTAGATGAGGTACTTACATTAAGGTTTATTCATAGCTGAGAGCTTATATCCTACAATATTAATACCTATTAAGTCTGACTGGCTGGTCCTTGTATAGTCTAATCAGTTCCATCTTTGCAACAGGAAAATTAATCTTTATAGCTGTGATTGATTTGTAGTCTTAGGGAGGAAGCAAAATGTGAAAATTACCTAGGATATATACAACGTTTCTGCCTCCATAATACTGGACTTGTATCAAGACTGCATAGAAAAAGTCAGAGAAGGTCTTTAAACTTCTACACAGCTGTAAATAGTTAATAAGAAAGGCTGTTACTGCCCGACTACCGAAGCTTAAGGAAAGCATTGAGCTGTATTGTTACAACTTGAGAAATTATGCCCTCACATCATTAAAGACTGAGATAAATCCGACACAAAATTTGAAACCACTCAAGTGTTGCATTCACAATACAAGCTAAAGATGAAAAGCTGCTGCTTCCGATGTTGTTCGTTACATGCAACAGCAAAAACTAGCCTGAGAACCTGGGAGAACTCAAAAGATTGAAATTACTTAAGAAGTCCAGAAAAACGGATTTCTGTGCATGGTAATGGTATGCCTCTTTCTGTGCCTGACTAAAAGAAGAACTGCAACATTATCCGGGAAAAGAAGAACACAACTTCCCGAAATATTCCAAAGCCAACTAGTAGAATATATCTCGAGCTCCAAGTAAACGTTATGGAACGTAACGGGCCATTTGCTGGTCAGAATAGAAAACTTGAAATGCACGGCTACATTTTCTGCGAGGGAGCACAGCAGCTCCTGGCTCTCAGAGGCAAAAGCACCAAACCGGGGACGACTGCTATTTTTGCCCTCGCACACCTCGCACACCGCCCCGCGTCCGGACCCGCGCACCGCGCTTAGCCTGGAGCCCCGCGCTGCCCGGGACCGCCGAGATCCCCTCCTCGCTCAGCCCCCTCCACCCAAGCGAATCCCCCTGTCCCGCGCAACTGCTGGCAAGGCGCTGCCCCGCCTAAATTTGCGCCAGCCCAGCCCGCCGCGGCTCCGCGCCCGCCCCGCGTTACCTGCGCGCTGTCCCGCTGCGGGCGCCCCGGGCAGGGCAGGGCAGGGCAGCCCCGGGCCGCGGTCACGGCTCCGGCCCGGGCGGGCACGACGCGGCTCCGCCGGAGTGGGAGCAGAGGGAAGCGCGCAGCCCCCGGCCCGGCGGCGCACCTTACGCGGGCGCTGCGGAGGCGCCGGGTCTCGCCTGCGGCCGAGGGCCGCGCCCCGGGGCCGGCGCTGCCGCACTCGCCGCCCGCCCGGCGGGGCCGGGGCCGAGGCTGGGGCTGGAGTCGCCGCGCTAGCGCATTTCGGGAGGCCGCTCCAGGGTGCCCTGGAGCCCGGTATTCCGGCGCTGCACGGTGTGACAATTAGAGTTTCCATGGAAATGCAGTGAGTCGGTAAATAAACCCCGCGCTCGCCGGTGCTTACGGGATGCTCTCAATGCCTCACCTGGCGCTCAGGACACGGCATTTTGCAAAGGTGAAACGCGCTGCGAGTCTCCGGGAAGCGGGAGCACAGACAGGCAATCACAGAGCGGTGACCTGAGCTCCCCTCGCTTCGGCTGGAGAGGAGCTCCGCAGGTGTTCATCCATGCTGCTCGAACACCCTTTAATTTTTATTTTAGAACAGGTGGGAGGCAATGGATTTCCCCCAAACAGTTTTCCTTTCCGAGTTGAGTAACTCGGTTCTTACAGAAGGAAATATCTGGAGTGGCTTTAATTTTATCTGAACAATCAATGGGAAGGCAGAGCATTTCCTTAAGTGAGCAGTATTTTAAAGCATAAAAATTGTCGGGTGTGTCATAGCACAAAGCATGAAAAGACAAATTCTGCTGTTCTCACCAGCTGTTATCTTCTAGCACAAGAAGAGTCATTGATCATAGTCCTATTACAGAGCTACTGGAGAACTGAGTGACATGCAGGTCTGTGGGAGCACAAGTGGCAGAATCTGACACAAAAAAGTAATGACTTTCCCATTTGCCAAGGCGCTACTTTGACAGTTGATATTAACACAGCACTGCAGAAAAGCTGTCAGTATAATTAACCTGTGAGAGACTGTACCACACAAAAACAAAACAGCCAGATCAATCATATTGTAGAATAACCTTTGAAAAGTCCACTTAGGTTCCTTATTTAACTTGGGTTAGAAAATACTCATTGAGTGATCAAGGAACAAATAACCCTAATCTTCAGCAGATGAGCTCAGGATGGCAAGGAATATTTCATCCTATCTTCTTTCACTCGCTTCTGCATTATCCACCACCCACTTCTGGTGAATCACTGCATGTACAAGTGGAGCACAGGGAGCTGACAGTGGAAGTGACGCGCCAATCCATCTCATCTTTTTAAGACAACTTTCCCGTTAGTCACAACGGAGAACAGAATTAATCCTTTTTAGGCCTGAGCAGCTGTTCTTAGCATTTTCGACCATCTTCCCACCTAGCACTGATGGTT